GTAATCAACACTACTAGTCACCCACAAGCACCAATCTATAGTTCCGGTAACAAGATTGAACACAAGAGATGAACTGGGGTTTGAGATGAGATGGCGATGTTGAAGATGTTGATGGAGATTGCCCTCCCAAAGATGGGAGAGTTGTTGGTGATGATGACAATGATTTCTCCCTTCGGGAGGGAAGTTCCCCTGGCGGAATCGCTCCGCCGGAGGGCAAAAGTGCTCCTGCCCAAGTTCCGCCTCGAGATGGCGACGCTCCGTCCCGAAAGTCCTCTCTTATTTTTTTCTAGGTCAAAATGACTTATATACCAAAAGGTGGGCACCAAAGGTGGGCCTGGGTGAGCACAACCCACCAGGGCGCGCCCAGGTGGGTTGTGCCCACCTGGTGGGCCCCCTCTAGTACTTATTTGCTCCAATATTCTTCATATATTCCATAAAAATTCTCCGTAAAGTTTCAGCTTGTTTGGAGTTGTGCAGAATAGGTAGCCTGACGTAGCTTTTTCAGGTCCAGATTTCCAACTGCCGAAATTCTCCCTCTTTGTGTGTACCTTGCAAATTATGAGACAAAAGGCATTAGAATTACTCCAAAAATCATTATTACGCATAAAACATCATAAATAACAGTAGGAAAACATGATGCAAAATGGACGTATCAACGGACTGCCAGAACTGGGAGCCTCCCGACCTAATGCAAAAGGCAAGGGGTTGGCCGCGCAAGTATTTGCTCAGGATGATTTGTAGACACATGCCACCCTCGCCATTCGCAATGCGCCAAAGCCATCTCGTGAGGAGAGCCAGGTTCATACGTTTGGAGGACATGATGCCGAGGCCGCCTTGGTCTCTAGGTTTGCAGATGTCGATCCAGCGGACCATATGGTATTTCTTCTTATCACCCTCGTCGGCCCAGTAGAAACACGCCTGGACAAAGCCAATCTCATGATGCAATGTTTCGGGCAGGCTGTAGAAACTCATGATGAACAGAAGGAGGCTGGACTGGGACGAGTTGATGAGGATCGTCCGAGCCGCCTTAGACAACCAACGGCCCTGCCAAGGCTCGATACGGTGTTGGAGCTTGAGAACCGAGGGCCTCAGATCCGCCACAAATAGGCGGGAGTTGCTAATGGGGATCCCCAGGTAGGTGGTTGGGAATGACCCAAGCCGAAAGTTAAGTCGGATAGCAATACTCTGGCTATCAGAGGGGGAGTAGCCAAGAACCATCACCTCGCTCTTATCGAAGTTTATTTTGAGACCCGACAACTGCTAGAAGCACAACAACATGAATTTCAGGTTCGAGATATCGGCTGCCAAGCCTTGCACCATGATAATGGTGTCATCGGCGTATTGAAGGAGGGAGACACCTCCTCCCTCCACTAGGTGCGGGACTATGCCATGAATGTGACCGGTGGCCTTTGCCCTATCCAGGATCGATGCCAGGGCGTTAACCACCATGTTGAACAGAAACAGAGAAAAGGGGTCCCCCTGTCTAACCCCACATAAGGTGGGGAAATAGGGCCCGATCTCGCCATTATTGTTCACCGCGGTGCGCCCAAAGGTCACCATCTGCATGTCCCGGGTGACGCAGTGACCGTCGAACCCTTTCCTGAGCAACACTTCCCGAAGGAAGGACCAGCTAACCGTGTCATAGGCCTTGTGAAAGTCGATTTTCAGGAAGACTGCTTTGAGGTTTTTGGACCGGACCTCGTGCAGGACTTCGTGGAAGACAATGACCCCATCTGGATATACTGGCCTTGTATGAAGGTGGACTGATCCGGGTGGGTGATGCGGTCAGCCAAAGGGGCCACCCTATTGGCGTACCCCTTTGCTAGAATGCGGAAGATCATATTAATCATCATGATCGGTCGGAACTAACGGATGTCCGAAGCGCCAGGCACCTTGGGGATCAAGGTGATGATCCCATAGTTAAGGCGGTCGAGGTCAATGGAGCCCACATAGAACTCCTCAAAGAGGGCCATGACCTCTGGTTTTATGGCCGTCCAGAAGGTCTGGAAGAACTTCACTGGCAAACCGTTTGGACCAAGGGCAGACGAAGGATTCATTCCTTTAATCGCCAGCCAGACTTCCTCCTCAGTGAATGGGGCCGTGAGGGCAACATTCTCCTCGGCCGAGATGCATTGAGAACGAGCCCAGAAGTCAGGAGCGAGAGCCAGGCCCCCCTAGGGGGGGGGCAAGGAAGAGGGCTTTATAGAAGCCATCTACATGAGCATGAATGTTGTCCGGACGCTGCAGGAGGGTCTCCCCATCCCATTGCAAGGGGATGGTATTGCAACGCCTACGACCATTGGCAATGGCCTGGAAGTAGGCGGTATTGGCGTCACCCTTGAGGACCCACTTTTCGGTTCCCTGAAGTTGCCAATAAGCCTCCTTGTCAGTGTCTCGAAGCATCCACTCATCGGGGGATATGCACACCGAGTCGGCCTGGAGGTCCAACGCCTGGATGGAGGCCAGGAGGGTTGGGTAGTGTAAAACTTTAAATGGCATGAATCACATAATTTTATTGACTTACAAAACTGGGTAAATCAATATATTCACTTAGTATAAAACTTTAAATGGCATGAATCACATAATTTTTTAGTAAGTCAATAAAATTATGTTTTCTCTAGCAAGCCTATATAAATGCTTACTACTAGCAAATAAGGATTACAATTAAAATTACATTTTTTTACACAATCAACCTTTTTTTTTCAGGAACACAATCAGACTAACATGAGCGGGTAATCATGGACAAACCTATTATTTAGAATATTTATACCTCTGCTGGCAATTATCTGGCGCGATTTAAAAATTGTACACACTGCATTTTACTAGAACAGAGGGATTATTTCGCGGTCAAGAAAGTGCAAGAGCTTTCCATCCATGATATGAGGCCGGATGTTGATTGGACCTTGGACGTCCTGTGATACTCCCCTAGTACCCTACTACCGTGGATGCAATCGCAGCGTCTCTCTCTTCTAGTCTAGCCTTTCATCACGGTCCAAAAAGCGAGACAGCAGCTACACACGTACTACTCCACCAGCAGTGCACGGCAAACAAAGAATTTTCACTTCCTCTCGTCCTTCTCGAAGAAAATTTCCTGCTATATTTACGGCCTATTTACGGCACGCATTTTCTCCGGGCCGAGATCTTGGGGGCCGTGCACTCACGCTCGACACGACACAAAACGATAGTTTCTCCCCCTCGTCTCGCAGTCCTGTCTCGTCATGGCAGCTGTGATGCGAGCGGCACTAGAAATTCGTTGACCTGTGGAAACTTGACGTCCGGGCCCTGCCAGTATGGCATATTGGAAGTAAGGGCTCGGCTACGGGTTGTGCCCATGGTGCCATTTGCAATTTCACGTAAGAGAGAGGTGCTGCCTGCGCAGAAAAGCGCTACCTCCTCCTCGCCATTAAAGAGAAGCAAACAAAACAAAAAGGCTATCGGCCTTTCTCTCTCCGCCCTCCCCGCAAGTGCACTGCAAGGCTGCGACAGCGCCCTCCGCCGTGGAGCCAAACCACGGAAACGCCATCGCCTCGGAACCGGCACCGAGGCAGGCAGGCAGGCAGAGCAGGACCCCTACGCCTACGGCCCAGTGCCCCACACCACACCCATGGCCATGGCCACGGACACCATCACAGCGACCGCTGCGACGCAGCATTTCTTTAACCCCTCAACCTGAGCCTTTTCTTGGCCATTCTGCCAGTGAGCACGTGACCACACGCTGCCCGTTGCTCACGCCCTCCATGTCTCCCTCTCTCTCCTACAGCTGCGCTCTGCGGAGCTAAAGCTAATTGTACTCGCAGCGTACCAGAGGAGCTCAACCCTGCCTGTTCTTTCTTGCCGTGCGGGTGCGGTCACCGCCGCCGCCGCCGCGCTCCGTGCCGCGTCCGTGATCTGCCATCCGGCGCCTGCGGTGAGAAGCCATTATCCCTTTCTTTCCCTGCCACCCCTGCTCCTCACGAGCGCCTCCCTGTTCCTGGCCTTCCTTTTTGTTCTTCCATCTCGTTCTGGATCTTGTGGTTCTTGCAATGCGGTCGATGGCCAAGGAGATAATGCAGCCGAGGGTCTGTTCTTGGCTTCAGCTCCGCTTCTTCGCATCTTGTGTTTTCTTCTCTACTTTACATCTTGTGTGTTTACGACAGGAGGACTATGAGCTCTGTGACATTTGTGCGATACAAAACTAACCAGGTGTGAGTTGGATTTTATTTGTTTTTGGAAATGGAGGTGCTTCCTGGATGGGGAATGGGTCCGAATGGGACCAAGATTTGGTCCATTTTTTGTAGTCCCAGATGGATGCTTCCCATTGCTCTGGATTTGATTTTGGTGATTGCTACTTGTACATACAGATACGGTTGGGTGGCCAAGATTTGATTTGACCTTTTTTGGCTTCTGTTTTCTCCACATTCTTTCTTTTTGCTGTCATGTTTGTTAGAAAAGCAGAGGCTGTGTGGATTATTCGTGTACTGCTTTTTTACTTTATGTTATTTCAGTGAATAGAAGAAGTGACGGCCGATTCTTCGGTCCATTTTATTCCGCTTGGTAGCTGAACAGAGCATTTTTGGGTTGCCACCTTCTTTCCTTTAATCTGCATAGAAATGCTCATAATAAGATGGAGCGTTTTGGGGCCCGGGTTTAATTTTGTAATCTTCTTTTTGTGTATATAAATGCTCCAGGGTTACCGTTACAATCATCCTATCTTTGGGGTCCCGGATTTAACTGTTGTAGGGCGTCGTACATGTCTCTCAATTTATCTTTGGAAACACGAAAATGTCAATATCCATTTATTACTTCTCGAAGATGCGTTTGCAATGTAGGGTTGAGCAATCATTAAGGCATCTCATTGTTTCCTTTGCACGGAGAAATCAAAATAAACTTTATAATCTGAGCGTTTTTACTGTTTTACTCCAGGTTCCTGCGACGCTGTTATAATGGAAGCAGCCACATTCAAGGAAACAGCCAGAACTGAACTATAATCAGAAATTGTTGCTGTGTAATACAGATTCAAAATGACTGACATGAGGCGCCACTCCGTCTCCGTGGATGTCCCACTGTCAAGAACCCTGGTGCAGCTCAAGCGAGTGAGGTCGCTGCGGGATCCAGCAACAAACTCTATGAGCAAGTATGCATCTCCTTCTGACAGTATGATCTGGGAGACTGCTTCTAGCAATGGAGCGATGATGGAAGGAAGCAGGTCAGCACACCATCATTTGATTGAAGAGGATGTGGATTTGGAAGCCGAAGCTACCATGGGGTCAGAGCGAAGCTTCCGGGCACCAAATGCAAGAACTGCATCTTACAGGAAATCTTCAGTTGTTAGGATCAGAGGCTTCAACCCACCAAGAAACAAGCAAGTTCATCGTGTCCGCGGGGATGGTCACAGGAAATCGGTGTATTCTAACCACTCTAATCATAGCTCCCTTCGGCAGTTGGCAAACAATATAGTAACCAACGTGGTGGAGGAGAAGGAAGAGGAGGAGGTGAATTCCTATGAACGGGCACATCTCGCTTTGCCAGAGAAGAGCGAGGAAGAAGTGAAAAGGCGTTCCAAATTCAAGGGCAAGTCTTCTGCTGCAATGAGCCGCGTTGGCAGCCCTTGTATGTCTGCCAGTGAAGCGCGCTCAGTTGGGTCCAGAAGAAGCACAGTAGGGCATGGAACTGAGGACACACGAGTGAGGTCGAATGATGTTGTAGGATCAAACTTCAGTGGATGCGGTATAAGCTACTGCTGGTCAGGAGCATCAAAGTACCGCGATCTTTATTCCGATAGTGATGGTCCAGAGCAACCTCTCCTATCCCCAGAGGGGACTGAGGTACCGTTCCAAGAAAATGTACCATACACCGAGACACCAAGGTGTTTAAGCCAAAAATTTCGCCCTCGATCATTCAGTGAACTGATTGGCCTCAATGTGGTTGCTCAGTCCCTATTGTATTCCTCTTGCAAAGGAAAGATTGCTCCAATGTACTTGTTCCATGGCCCCCGGGGTACAGGCAAGACGTCTACGGCACGCATTTTTGCTGCCGCTCTAAATTGCCTCTCTCTCGAAGAGCAAAGGCCATGTGGGTTCTGTAAAGAGTGTGTCATTCTCTTCTCTGGGAGGAGCAGGGACGTAAAAGAAATTGATGCAGCAAAAATGGATCATTTGGGCCGCGTAAAGGCACTTCTCAAGAGTGCATCTCTTGTCCCATACTCGTCACGCTTCAAGGTTTTCATAGTTGATGAATGCCATCTGTTGCTAGAAGATGCCTGGTCGGCAATAGTGAAGAGTCTTGATGAGCCATACCGGCATGCTGTCTACATTATGATTACTTCTGATCTAGATAGCTTGCCTCGCACTTCCGTCACACATTGCCAGAAGTTCCATTTTCCAAAGATAAAGGTTGCAGATATTGTCAACAGGTTGGAGAGAATCTGCGTAGATGAAGGGTTAGAATTTGACCATGATGCGTTGCACTTCATTGCTGCAAAGTCTAATGGTTCTCTTAGAGACGCTGAAATAATGCTGGATCAACTTAGTTTGCTTGGGAAGAGGGTCACGATTTCTCTTGTGCATGAACTTGTGAGTAGTACTACCTATAGTAATGACTATTGCCAGTTACACAGTATAATAATGTTTCTACATTTGTTATTTGCAGGTAGGATTGGTTTCTGATGATGAGTTGATTGAGTTGCTTGATCTAGCACTGTCATCGGACACAACCAATACAGTTAGACGAGCTCGGGAACTTATGGCGTCGTCAGTTGATCCCCTGCAGCTGGTCTCTCAGCTGGCAAACCTTATTATGGACATTCTCTCAGGACGATGCCAATCTGCGGTAACAGAAGTCAGCAAAAGTTTCTTGGGAAGATATGCGTGTATGTATTCTTTCCTTGAATGGATTTTTCTACTTTCACATATTATCATTAACGACTGCAGGCTCAATGCATTAATTGATAATATGGAGTGTTTTGTTTTCTCATTTTTTTACCCTCTATATTGTCAAATCAGTAATGGTATGGCATGTTCTGATAACCAGTGCATTTGGAACTATGAAAAGTTTGCTATCCACATACCCTTCTGTTCCCCTAAGTTTCTTTACCCTTACTATTTTCCAATGATCTTGCAGTGGCAGATGTTGGTATAGAGAAACTAAGACATGCACTCAAAATACTGTCAGAAACTGAAAAACAGTTGAGGACATCAAGAAATAAGGCAACTTGGGTTACTGTTGCACTTTTGCAGTTTGGCAGTTCTGAATCTGACATAGTAGCAGAAACAAATGACATGCATGCACGCTCAGCAACAGGATATACAGGTAAGCACACTCAAATATATTACTCCCTCCGATCCATATTAATTGTCACTGATTTAGTACAACTTTGTACTAAATCAGTGACAATTATGTGGATCCGAGGGAGTATGTGTACTTGTGCCTGTACAGAATGATAGTTTAATATTTCTGATGTTATGTGCAGATGACTGGGTATCCAAGGTAAACTCAAGCTCCAATTTCTGCGATGCGTGTAACAGCAATAAGTCCAACTGTTCCGAGAGACACTGTAGACGGCTTAAGCTTGAAAACATCTGGAGGAGAGCCACTGGGAAGTGTCAATCAAGATCAGCCAGAAGTTTCCTCAAGAAAGAAGGAATCCTATCATCAGTCCATGTTACCGAAGGTAATTCAGGTGTGCCATGTTTTTCTTGGTTTTGGCCTTCCCATAGGTTTGTGCTGACTATGACACACTAAATGTGAACATTTGCAGAGGTGGCTATAGCTGAAGTTGGATTTAGTCACCCGGATCACCTATCAAGGGCAGAGAAAATGCAAAGCCTGATACAAGGAGTACTGCAGCACGTTCTCGGGTTCAATGTGGAGGTTAGATTCAAACTTGTCCCGTGTGCAGCGAGGAAAGATGCAAGGTCAAAGAGACACTCATTCAACCTGCTCGGCTGCTCGGGACGAAAGCAAGAGCTGTCAGATTCCACAGTGACAGATGAGGATGAACCTGTGAGGCTTGGAGCAAGAGAAACACCTCACAAAGGCTACTCCTCTAGTCAGCAGCCATCGCCATTCATCGTGCAACGTGTTGATTCTAAGCCAACAGTTCATGGCTCCGAGGACGATGCCCGGAGCACCTTGACATCAAACAGATCCATGACTGATGACCTGACAAGGACATGTAGGTCGGAGACTAACTACTCCAAGGGCGCAAGTGAGCAGGGTCGTTTCGACAGCATCCAGGAGCCTGACCTTCAGCCGAATTGCTTCTCACGAACATTGAAGCTGCAAAAGAGGTTCTTCTCGTCAGATGCAGCACACACAATCTGCTTCAGGATCCAGCCACACAACAAAATGGGTTTCCTACCTAAGAAAGAATATACATATTTCTGCACATATGGGCCGTATGAGCAGTGTCCAAGATCGAATTCAAGAGCTACTTACGGTTCGAGAGATGAGGACTTGTAAGTTATCTGAAAGTCCTTGACATTTCCTAACAGTTTTTTTACTTCTTCATTAGTATATGTTCGGTAGGAAACGTTTAGTTAGAGAACTGTATACTCAATCACATTACTGTCTCTAGATTTTACAGTGCAACACCATACTCATTGTTTGTCCTGCAGGTCCATCAAGACTTCTTCTGGGTTTGGTTCGAACCTGCTCTGCTGGAAGGGCCCTAAACAGTCAATCTAACAGGTACATTGCCCTGTATTTGGGCATCACTGCATCAGTAGGCCATGCAATTAGAGGTCTTGCTGCTATGTTACTAGTTGCCATGTGGTTTCTTGACCACATATCAGCATGTACATGTTTGAGCAGCGCCCCCACCCCTTCTGACTTACGCATATAGTGTTTTGAATCCTCAACATGGTTGTACATTTTAATAAAAAAGGAGCCTTTTGTGTCCTGGTAAAATAATTCGAATTCCCATGCTCTAAAAAACAAAAAAAGTTATGCACCAAACTAGTTTTCTTTCATGGGGCACACAACTGATCGGTTTTACATGAAAATTTACAGGAACATAAAGGCCTCGAACAATTGGCATGTTTTTTTAAATGCGTCGGAAAAATAGTTTGATATGTTCTTTTTTTAGGTTCCACCGCATTCAGCTTTTTTTATGTTGTGGCCTTTGGGATGCAGAAATGGATGATCAAGGATGATGAACCACAATCACATAAATTCTGCAAACTCAAAATTTTGCCTGAAGCTGGAGAGTTGGCACCCTTTGGCAGCAATTTTTTTAGGAGAGTCTGTGGACTGGATTCAGTCTAAATGCATTTGCACCGAGCGAGTTCTTGTTATTTGTAAAACAAATGATGGAACCTGTTGTCTGCAGGCTGCATTTAGTCAGATTTTTAGCTAAGCAGATTTGACAAGAGACCTGGAGAGGCTGTTTCCACTTCTTGTATGAAAGAACCAAATAATGCTAGTGATGATTTGTACAGCATGCCGATGATACATCCAAGTTTTCTAAATTTGAATACCTTTTGTAGCAGAAGCGGAAAATGAAGTGAGCGCATCAAACAAGCCCCTCTATACCTGAAATGTCTTGCTAATTGTTTTTTCAAATTCAGTGGTTTTCTGGGATATTGTACTACACTTTATCTATTTATTATTATTTCTTTCTAAAAAACAAACATTTCAAGCACCACTTGTCAAACATTTTTTTAATAGAGAATAGGTACTTGTCAAACATATCCTTAGGAACATAACATGAAGAACGGACAGTTATCATTTGAAGAGGAAGCAATTCAGATTTAGGTTCACCCATCCGCAGAGGGGGCCTAGATCTTCCGGTTCAACTTACCGGAAGCCGAAGCCACCATACCCTGGCTTGTTGGGAACGCTCGAATCGACCGTTTCTAGCGAGCCAGAGTCGGGCGCAAAAACAAGACGCGGTGTAGGGCACGGTGCAAAGGGGATTCGGTCGGAGATGGCGGGAGGGGGAAATCGACGGAGGTGGAGGCCATGGAGGACGAGGGCCCTCCCTCCCTCCCGGCCGCTCCCGTGAGCGGCCCGGGGGGAAACCCTAGCTGCCACTCAACCTCCCTCCCCTCCTCGTCCCTCGGCGTTGGCGGCGGCAGGGCTCTCCTCTCCCTTGCACTCTTCCAAGTAGGCCGGCGCGGGGCGGCTGGATCGGGCGCAGGCGTCGGCCTTGCACGGGGGCGGAGGGCTGCGGCGGCGTGCGCGTCGGATGGTGGTGCGCCGGCGGCCTGGGCAGTGGCTGGCGGTGTGGCGGCTGCGGGCTCTCGGGATCTCGTGGGATTTGGTGGTGCGTGCTCCTGCGTCCGGTCGGGTCCGTCCTCCCCGGCGTCTGGATGTTTGCGTGCGGCGCGGGAGGGTCTCCCTTGGGCCCACCCTAGGCTGCCGTGGCGGCTGATCTCCTCCTCTTCTCCGACAGATGGGCGGCTGCCGGTGGCCTCACGTCGGTCCGGGCCGGCAACCATGGTAGGGCGAAACAGGGGTGTTTCTGGTGGGGAGACCGGTAGGAGGAACGGGTGCTCTGACGAGGTCGAGCTGCCCGTCGCCGGCGCAGGGGTGTCGGTCGTGGTCATGTGCCGCTCCTCCCCCTCCCCCTTTCCTTGGCCTAGCACTCTCTGGTCGCAACTCTGGCAATGTTTGAGGTAGGGTGGTCGCTGGCGGTGCCGACGGTGTTTGGGTTGGCTGATTTGGTCAAAGTCGCATCCTTTGATGTTCTCATGGGTGGTCTGGATGCAGGGCGGCGACCCTGGCGGTGGGAGGCATGATGATCATGGCGGATCACGCGGCTGGGGTGCGGGCGAACAGCCACGGCCACTCGGGCAACATGGTTGCGGGTGGTTGGCGGAGCGTGGATGTGACAGAGGGGTTTGAGCACCGGGGTACACCACTTGCCCGTCCCTGGACCGGTCGACGACGACGGCGTCCGCGGATGTCTGTTCGTCTTTACAGGCTTTGTTGTGGTGTTCCCACCCCTTTCGTGATGCTCCAGCTGAAAACTTGATCCCCGGATCGGACGGTGGCGGCTTCCGAAGTCGCACCCTTCTTGGAGGCACCGTCTTTGAGCCCTCGCTCCGGCAATGTCCATCTCATCTTCCTCGGTGGAGCGCTCATGGGTGCTCTATGTCGGCATTAAGCAGTTCTTCTTCGTGTATCTCTAGTTTGCTTGGTTGCCGTGGGGGTAGTGTGGCGGTGCCTGGCACCTTTATATCTTGCCTTAGGTGTATGTTGTGTGTGGTGGTGGCGTGAGTTTGTATCGGTTCACTTGTTGGTCAGTGCTTTAGCTATTAAGCGGAGTGAATAGCCTTTTTCGTCTATGGAGGACGAGGGCTTGGCCGTCCAAAATTAAACTCCCTTCGCATTGGTCCTTCTATCACATTCATGAGATCATTCCACTTTGGGATATCTTTTGTTGACGCTCAAATTGAGGACGGCATCACTTGGAAGTTCAGCGGCCTCCGCGTACAAGGTGCAATTCCTCGGTGCCACTAGATCCGTCATGAGCGCTGCGGTGTGGAAGGCTTAAGCGCCTCAAGTGAATTTTTTGCTATCGCATTTGGACCAGCGACACACTGGCCAAATTGTGGTTTGTGTCCGCTTTGCAAGCATGTTAACGTAGTCAGTAGCAAGTGCTCCATTCAAACTATACCCCCCAAAGGTGTCGATTCCAAATACGTAGACACTTCCCGTGTCGCTCACGAGCATTGTTCGACTCGATCCAACCGCGGCATGCGTGATCCTGATGCCTTGCAGAGACCTACAAATGCAGCAACAGTTTGTTACATCGGCAGACAAGATTCCCAAAATTCAACCAAATCAACGTACTCTTACCTGATAAGGCATGGCTTGAACTTGTCTTCTGTGTCCCCAAGGCCTAGCTGGCCCGAGGAATTCATGCCAAATGAGTATACGGCCCCACTTGCGGTGACCACAATGCTGTGGCCTGGTCCAGCAGTGACCTGAGATTTCCCGCGGCGGCAATTCTTCTCGCCGACCAAAATGTATCCAAGAACAAGCTTCCAAGAGCCCCCGCACCTTTGCTTCAGCCACTCCTTCTCTTCTGGTTTCATCGGCTTAAACATGGCCCTTTGCTGGCACATGTCGAATGCTGCAAGTTCCGGAAGTGGTAATTGCAAGTCTGGTGGGAATTTTGCGGGATTTCTGAAGAATTTACATGTAGCCTGAAACAGCAAAACATCTCCACATCATTGTGTCATCACAATAATTCATAACCAGCATTTTAAGACTCAAAAGTCGTGAGAACTAAGAATGTAATTGTAGAACTTGCCTCCAAAGCAGCAAGATCTTTAGGATCCAGCCCAGAGGATGAGAGCACGTGGAGGAGAATGGATGGGCTCGCGGTCAGGGGGAATTGCCCTTCGGCTTCTTCTCCAGAGAAATGGCGCTTCATAAGTTCAGCTTCTGGATCCGGCGAAGGAGAACGCGGGGCAGCAGCATCATTCACTATGTTGCGGGGCACCAGCGCGGCGTTGCTTGCTGTAGTATCCATTGGGCACTCCATGATCTGCAACTATTGAGAGAAAAAGTATATATATATTTAGTAAATTGTACATACTGAGTTGTCAAATGACTATAAATGTATGAACCCAGGGTCCTTGCAAACAAGGCAACCCCATTCTTGTAGAGAAAGTAACTAAGCCATGCATTGCTTTTTTTAATTTTTTTTTCAAAACATGAACATTCTTGTAGAGAAGGCAATCAGTCAGATCATACATTGTATATTTTGTTAAGAGTACAAAACAGTAACCAATTATATAGTACATGGTAATGTAACTCATGCTGCAACTTCAGTATTGAAGACATTATAATAATTACATGATGATCATATAGCATGATGAATGGAGAGATGTGACCCTAAGTCAAGCAATTCTGGAGATGAAATTGGTTACGACGGACCCACACACCTCTGATCTTACAGGTCTGTGGTCAAGCAATCAATTATATAGATGCATCCCTGATCAAGGATCAGTCAGCAGCATCATAGTGGACAACGCACTCAACCAACCAAGGAACATGCCAAAAAAAAGATGATCCATGTTCGGCAAACACAATCCAATCAAGGTCGAAGATCACAAAGTGGAGGCCTCCACCATCTGTGCTGCAGTACCGACATCCATCGCGTAAAACCCCGATTCTCCACACTGCGGCCGCAGTCGCCCCAACCAAGAACTAACGAACAAAAACTAATGCGGATTTTTCATGGACAAAAACGGAAGATCCTTCCTTTTCTGCCCTTTCCTACACGAAGACACTGGACCGAAACTGATCTGATAACCACCCCATCTACCAGACCTTCCGAATCCCACGAACTCCACCCCAAAAAGACACCGGACGGAGATACCTGAACAGATTACAAGGTCAGGGGTGCTGGGATCACATGGAATTTCGGCAAGGCGCACGGCTGTGTGGTCGAACTGCCGCGGCCCCCGGGTTTATGTGGTCTTGGCAATGTGGCAGAAGTTGGGTTTTGGGGGGTGGAGGAGGAGAAAGTTTCCAGGGAAGCGAGAGAGAGAGAGAAGAGAGAGAGAGAGAATTGGGAAACCACCACCCCGTATATATACGCATGCAGGTTGGGAGCGCCACATCGGCAAATGCGGCCTCCTCGCCCTGGATTCTCTGCGTCGATCCTAACAAACCCTCTCTCGTGCTTTTAAATTTTTTTTGGAAGTACAAACCTCCTATCTTGTTGGGAT